TGTAAACCAAAACAAGAAAAAATAAAGCATTAGTAACATGTTTTAAACAAGAACAAAAACAATAAAAAAATGAAATACATTCTTTATGAATCTAATAAAGCAGAAAAAAGCTCTAACAACCCGAAAAAAAGGAAAAAAGCATTAATAACATATCTACAAGCTAGCAAAAACAATGAAAATAAAATAATACTCCCTGGGATTCACAAGATATATGCCCAAGAAAAATCAAACAAACTAAAAAACAAGCATTAGTAGTATATTTATAAGTCAGAAAACAAGAACAACGAATGCAAAATCTATTAAATCACACTTTTCAGAATTTACAAGATATATATCTCATAATCCCAAACTCAAAGAGACCTAAAAAAAAAAAAAAAGAAAGTGTTAGTAACATATTTACAAACTAGAAGGCAATTACAACTAATACAAGAATATATATCAAATCATACTTCTTAGAATTTTCAAAACATATATCTCATAATCCCAAGCCCAAAAATGCTCTAGAAAAAAAAAGAAAAAAGTGTTAATAATATAATTACAAACTAGAAAACAAAAATGATAGATACAGAAATATACCAAATCACACTTCTCAGGATTCCCAAAATATATATATTTCATAATTCCAAGCTCAACACCCTAAAAAAAAAAGATAGAAGCGTTTGCAAACTAGAAATAAGAAAACCCCAAAATAAAACCAAATAAAGCTAAAAAAAAGCTTATCTAGAAGAAGGTTCTGCCAGCATCACAAAAACCAAAACAATACTTAACACAGAATTATATACACAGTACTAAAAATGGTAATAGCAACAAAATCTACTAAATATACATGATATTACATACAATACAGCACCAGTGTTAGCCTTATAGCAATTCCAATGATGACGTGACATGACATAACACCAAAGGCAATAAATGAAAACTCTATTAATGACAATAATGACAACTCTAATAGTGTCTTCAACAACAACTTCAGAAATGACGGTTAGATATAAAGAAAAATCTGCATTGACAATGACAAAACTATAAAAAAAATTAATATATAGTATACCATATATTTGAAGTAAAAAAAAAAAAAATTAATTGATTTGATTAGTTGATAATCACCATTTATATCCTATGATCAGAGATGCATCACGGTACATAGTGCACTAAATTAAAATTCTCTTTATTTATTTTTAATTTATTTTATAATAGTTTTTATTTATTTTTTGTTTATTATCACTTGTAATCATTAATTATTTTTTTAAATATAGATAATTAATTTTTTGCTTAAGGCAGTATCATTTATCATCTGATTATTTTTTATTAGAAGCTTATCACCTTTTTCTTTTAATATAAAAAAATCCAGTTTTTATATATAATTTTAACTTTTTTTACTCCCCCTTTTCTTCTAAAAAATCATCTAATTTTTGTTATAACCTTTATTTCAATTTACTAGCTATTACAAAAATAAAAAATTACTATAATATAGTATTACAAAATATTTAGAATACTATTTAGAAGATTTTTAGATTTAAGAGTTTCTTATACTTAAAGAGTAATGCTACCATATTAAAATTATCAAGTGAAAAAAAGTAGACTAGTTGCTAATTGTTTTTGCTCAAAATAATAAAGAAATATATTAGGTAGCTATTATTGCAAAGACTGCTTTCTTCATAATTGCAGTACTTACTTTAACAAATAAATATTGTATTTTTACTTTAACTATATATAATATAATGTTGAACCCATAATCAAAAAGCTT